TTACTGTTATTACTGATAAAAACAGTGAGGAAGAAAAGATTCTCCATAAAGCTTGGGAGAAATCGAACAGATTAAGCATTATGGTTATATGAATAATTGTTCCTCATAATTATAGTGCTAAGGAATATTTTGACTAGAAGAATGTTTTCGTATTATAAATAAATATCTAAAACGAAAATTATTAATTGATATCACTACTATGCATTTTTGTTGATACTCTTACCGTGTATGGGTATGTTCTTAGGATGATTAATGTTGATACCAAATTGAGAACCTTATAGATGATTGTGGATAAGAATTTTCTTATTCAATTTATCTCAATTTTTGTCTACTTGGTATGGGTCATTTCGAATTAACACTATTAAGACAAGTGGAAAGTTAAAGAATTGACCATTATGTTAATTTAGGAGGAGACAAAGCTTAAGCAGCAGGTAATCATTATGTTCATCTGATGACTCAAGAAGTTAGAAAGAAATTTGGGAATAAGTCAGAAAAGGCATTAAGTGAGCAACACACAAAATTAAAAGATTTAGGTCAATCTACTAAAAAAAAAGTAATGTAATAATGAAAAAGTGTCATTAATGTATTGAACACTTTTAGAAAGATTACATGACATATAAAGAATGATTCGAAAAAGAAAAGTACGTTTTTGGCTTTTGTATATTGCGAATTACTTGTTGAAATTCTTTTTAATACATGATAGGTTAACTTAAGTACTAATATTTATGTTTCTAATATATGCAAGAATTTTTTATGGTCTAAACCACAAATTCAAATAAGAATTTCTTATTTATGATAATTGGGACAAAGTTTTGTTGAAACCATTGTGACACTATGTTTAATGTTAGACAATGGATTTTATTTAAATTATTTTAAAATTTTTATGTTTATTCAATATCCCATAATTTGATTTTATTTCAAAAACTTTATGTTAATGGTTTTTCATTTAAATTTGGTAATGATATTTATTTAAGAAATTATAATTTGTGAGTTATGGCATTATTGTTGATGATTTCTGTAAATTCAAATTTGATGGTTTATTTATTAAAATCCTTTTGATCTTGTATCATAATGTTAGAATTAAGCGTAACTCAATTAATAGAAAATTTATCTTTGGCATAAAAGACTAGGTCAATATCTAATGAAATGTTAGGAAAATTAGTAAAGGATGTGATTCTTCTGAATCTAAACTTTACTGATTTTGATGTGTGTGTAGATTGTATTAAGGGTAGACAAACTAAATGCACAAAGAAATGAGTCACAATAAGTACATAGCTTCTTGAAATTATTTGTAAACCTTCTGATGTTTCATCTTTTGGAGGAGAAAAGTATTTTATCGCCTTTATAGTTAATTTTTCATGTTATGGATATATCTATTTGTTGTATGAAAAATCTCAAGCAGTGGGTACTCTTGAAGTATATATAAATGAGGTTGAAAAATAACTAGATAGAAAGTGAAAATCATAAGATCATATAGAAGTGGTGAATATTATGTAAAGTATGATGAAACAGGTTAATACTCTAACCGTTTGTTAAACTCCTTGAAATGTATATGCCACAACAGAAACGTGTAGCTATAAGGCGTAATCGTACTCTTATGGAATTGGTTAGGAGTACGTTAAGTAATTCCTCATTACCCATAATGTTGTGGATATTAAGTAATCTAAAGGGTACAAGTTTTACTATCCGAAACATAGTACGATAATTATTGAAACCGGTAATGTCAGATTCATTAAAAATGGTGAAATCAGTGGGAGTGATAAAAATAAGAATTTGATCATTTCAGAAGTTAGGGTACAAATATCTTTATCCATAACTTATAAGGAAATAATTGTTCCTTCAGTTGTTGAACCGTATAACAACGAAGAATAATTAAATGATCAACAACTCTATAATGAGATTGTCACCAATGAATAGATTGTAGAAAAATCATAAGGAATAACATTAAGACGATCTCAAAGAGAAAGGAGATCTGCTATTCCGGATGACTATGTGATATATCTACAAGAATCTGATTTTGATAAATAGTGAGATATATACGGATCCGGTTACATATTCACAAGCCATTAACAGTATTGATTTTACTAAATGGATTAGTGTCATGAATGAGAGATTATAAAGAAACCTTCTCTCTAGTATTTAAGAAGGAATCTTTTAAAATACCATGACATTAGTAGCTTATTATGATTTAGAGTTACATCAAATGGATGTAAATACAATTTTTATGAATAGGAGTTTATAAGAGGAAGTCCATATGGAACAATTTGAAGACTTTGTATTAGAGGGTAAAGAATTCATAGTCCGTAAACTTAAGATGTCAATATATAGATTTAAACAAACTTCCTAACAGTGGTATATTAAGTTTAATGATACCATTATTTCTTTTGGTTTTAAGAAAAATACTGTTGATCAGTGTATATATTAGAAGGTTAGTGGGAGTAAGTTTATATTTCTGATTCTATATATTGATGATATTTTATTTGTTAGTAGTGATCTTAGTTTATTATATGAAACTAAAAGTTATCTCTAAGAACTTTGAAATGAAATATATGGATGAAGCATCCTATGTGATAGGAATAGAAATATTTCATTATAGATCACATTGATTTGTTTTTAGAATTATCTCATAAAGTATATATTAAAAGAGTTCTAGAAGATTTGGTTGGAGGAATAATATTATGAAAAAGTGCAAAGTAATTTATGATTACTTTGTCTATTATGAAATTTTAATTTGTAGCATGCTTTGAGGCTATAATTTATGGTTGCAGAATTTATTTCAGGACTTGGAGTTATGGGTACCATTTTCAGATTGCTGAAAATTTATGCTGCAATTGTTGATCTTCTTGTATGAAAAATGATAGATATTCTAAAGTTGAAATACTTTATCATTAAAGAAGATATTTAGAAACAACGAATGTCTATTGAAATTATAAGCACACAACTTATGATTGCAATCCATTAATGAATGGACTACCATCCTAGACATTTATGGAACATGTTGAAAGAATGGGTCTTAAATGTAGTCAATGATAATTATTTTTTAATTGTGGATTGCTTAAATAGTACTTATATATATTTGACATTTTGCGCTGATAAAATGTGTTTCTGATATTTCCTATTAATTAATGTACATGTACGTATTACTTTAATAAGTGGTAATAGGAATAGTCTTGGAAAAGACATTATTGTTAGATCATTATTGATATTTCTCATTTATAGACTATGTTGAATAGATTACTAGTGTTGTGGTACATGGAATGAACTGTGTCATTTAAGGATATATAACCGCCATGACTCGCATTGGTAATTTATTTACCATGGTATTTATGATGACCAATTTAATAAGTTAATTTGATTTATGGTGCACATTAATGACTATTTTACTAAACCACTACAGAAGTTATCATATGTGCCAAGTAAGAGAATGTAAGATTATTTATTTAATTGTGGCCCACATGATTTGGACATGTGACATATTACTTGGTGGCTAAGTAAATAGATATCAATTAATATTATTTATTTATGGTCAACTTATAATTACCTTTTTGGTAATTACTTATTGGAGAAGTGTTTTCCTTTCTTATTTCTTACTTTGATGGAAAGTAGAATTATGTTACTAATAGGAAAACTGGTCCTCTCTCTGCCTTTATAAAAGTGCATATATTCCATCAATTATGTACAATTAATGAAACAACACGTAAAAGTTTTATGTGTGCAAAAGGCCAAGAGAGAGAAACCAGTTTCTACCTTTGCCTGTTGATCAGAGTTGCAGATTAGTTCGTGATTAAAGGATCTAGAAGTTAGATTTAATCTCAATAAGGTTTGTATCATGAATCGAGGTATTTATATCTAACTAGTATTTATTTATGCATTATAGATATGTGAAAATCATGAAATTCTAAGATATGGGATTCATGTAAATTTGTGATTAATGGCTTAACACGAATTATTATAGTTTACATTTTAAACCGTAATAACCGAAAAGTCTTTGACAACATTTTTAAATTCACGAGGAAATTATATACGTAAAGTAAAAGAGTTGGTGTTATTTACTCTACCAACTTGATTATGGATGCGTTGTGGTCAAAAGTGGTTTCAGCTTTACATTCCACTGGGCTGGAATGGAATGAATATTTGGTCCCAATTGATGGGCTGCCCACCTGTGAATACTTGGGGCTTGTCGTTTTTCTGTTGGGCCATGGGGCATATATACCCGTCTTTTACGTAATTAATCTCTTTATATATATAGAACAAATATCAATTACCTCCCTCAAAGTTAGGTTTCATTACTGACAGATTCTTAAAGTTTCAAAAAATTACAACCCTCAAAGTTAGTTATGTCATAATACTTTCCTCCTTCCGGTGAATGTCAACGCCCGTAATGTTTTTTTAATGACATCAGCCATTTTTGAACATGAAATACCATTTTTGCCCTTACTATAATTGCAAAGACATTTTCATCCTTACTTTTAAATTAAAAATTATTTATAAACCTTCACAATCACACTTTATTTTCCTATCTATACATTTTCTCTCTAAACGAATCTCGATCATGTTGCTACTGTAGTAGGATTCGCCGATGAGGACAATTTGTCGAACAAACCCAATCCTTAGACCTTGCCACCACAGTCATTTAATTGTATATAAAAAGCACCACATAGTCACCACACAAACCCTATAAAGCAACAAAATACATCATATTAGAATCGCGAACTACTAAGAAAAAGTTGTTGCAGAATCACGCGAACACAAAAAAACACCGATCGAGATTGCAATCAATAAAAAACAGGTCCAACAAATCCCATCTTAGAATCTCTTCAAACCCTTCACACCCACTGGGTTTACACAAACTTGCCATAGGGTTTCAACTACACCTCTAGAGCTTTACAAACCATGCTCTGATACCATGTTGACTTTAAGAGATAATTAAACCAAGAGTAAAGTATAAGAAGATGTAGATAAAGAAGAAGAGAAGAATGATGATAGAAAAAGAGAGAAAATGGAGAGAAATAGAGAATGAAAGAATTATTTCATCCTTCCACCACATTCTATTTATATTAATAAGTAAGTTTCAGAAATTACACATAATTACCGAACATTATATAAGTAATAACAAATAAGACCCTAATATTAGTTATGGAGATGGTGGCTGTGTTGTGGCGCCGATTTTTGTTGTTGTTGTGGTGGTGGCGGCTATGGCCGTCTCGGTGGCGATGAAGATAGTAGCTCTACCAGCAGTGATGGAGATGATGGTTCAGACCTGTGATGGCAATGGAGATGGTAGCTATGCTCTGCAAATTTAAGGCTCCAACATGAGAAAATAACAAAAGAAAGCTCAATTTCCTAAAAAAAGTTGTTAGGGTAAAAAAGTAATTTGATAACAAGTTATCATTATTAATATAATAATAGGGTTATATTAGTACATTCACACATATTTCCAATACAACCGATTGGCGATCACATTGAAGGGAGGTAAGTAATATTTTGGAAATGGTAGGGGTATTATTTATAATTAGGTCTAACCTCTAAGAAGGTAAAAAATATTTTTTCATATAACTTATGTCTTCCCGTAGCACAAATATTCTAAAAAAGTATGTTTTTATATTATCTCACGCGCTTTTTAATTTTAATAGCTAATCTTTTATTCAAACTTATATCCCTATTTTTTCAATTCCATTAATTAATATTTTGGGACAAATATGCAGAGCTATATTTCCAAAAGATATTCAGCGCATACAAAATAGAATATAATAATAATAACTAATAATTAATAAATGAATAATACAGCAAAATTTCATCTTTAAAATTCCTCAATATTACTAACTAGGTTATAGAACAATTGAGAACGTGTTTGGATTAGACATGCTATACTATAAATGACAGTTTCGTAAAAAACAAATAAGTTTTTATCTAGGATTTCAAAAACTAGTTCTCAAAAACTGTTATCAAAACCAAACAGCCCCTTAATTTATAGCTTCAATCCAAAACTTAAGGGAGTGAAATTTTCTACCATTTAAAAATTAGGTTAGCCAACGCGTCTATAAACAATTTTTTTAATTCTTAAAATAAAGGGGGTGGTTCAATCAATAGCAATACCAAACAATCCAAGTAAAATCATTAAATTGATAAAATACATAAATAAATAAATAGCATGGAAAGTTCGTGAGATGCATGGGACACCTCATTTCTACACCAGTGTGATTGAATTGTCTCATAGGTGTGTATACATACATATATATATATATAATCACAAGTTGGATAACTACATCCAGAACTTTGATTCAACTTGCTACGCTGTCTCCCACCACCTTAGTTTTAAAAAAATTCTAAATTTTCCAAGTGACCTATGATTACTCTCCTTACTTGCTAAGTTGCTAGTGATTACAAACTGGCTCCACACACAGCTATATATATATACACACACACACACACATAATTTACATATATATTATATTTAAAAACTGTATTGGTCATCAGTCATTGATTGTTTTAGGATACATAAGATGTTACAAAAATAGTAAAAAAAATGGCACCAAAAAGTAACTTCATCCCAAATGTTTGTCTTGTGTCATAAAAAATGTGCCAGAAATTGACAAGCAAAGCAATCAAAAGACAGGGACACCTTGATATTCCACTACTTCCTATCTTGGTTAACACAAAATGTTTCTGATAATCATCAAACAGACACAGTAGCCTAATTATGGAGACATGAATTACCTAACATGCTCAGAAACAAATTTCACATGGTATATCCGAGGAATGAGGCATTAAAAAATAAATAAAATCCAAAATTCAAATGTAATTTTATCTTTCTAGGCGGGTGTTTTTTTCCTTCCCAAAACACTACTTCATTCAATTCTCTGAAAGAGAACTTGTAATCTGAAAACAAGTCTTTTTATAACTAAGTTTTTAAAAAACAGTGTTCAAAAAACTGAACCATGTAAAGTTTCTGTACCGTTTTCTTTCTATAACTAAGTTTTCATAAAACTTGTTTCCAAAACTGAACCAAGAAGTGTTTTTGTACAGTTTTCTTTCTATTTTCAATTCTCCGAAAACACAATTACAAACCAAGCAGGCCCAAAATTACTTGAAAAAGTATAGCTGAAATTTTCTGCCAAAGCCAAAAGAGAATACCAATCTCACAAAACGAGTAAGCATATGATAATGAATAGAGAGTATTTAGTACCATATTCTACAAAATGTTACAATGTTGCCAGTTACAAGCTATACTGGAATGTTATATTGATTTGATCACATTCGAGAGAGAGAGAGAGAGAGAGAGGAGGGGGGGGAGGGGGGGGGGGGGGGGGGGGGGGGGGGGGGGTTGTGGGGAAAAAAAAAAACACTTTGTTAAAATTAAAGGTCAAACAAGTTGATATGACAAATAAAAGTTAGGAGAACAAAATCCACAACTTACTACATAAATTTGCATTAATTCCATGTTCCCATTTGGGCCTCAGATATCATGGCTGTTCTCCTTGTTGTTTGAGAGAGAACCGGAACCAGCACCGGAGCTTGCAGAGAAACTCATACCATTGGATCCCGTGGTAGCGCATTCAGGAGACTGCTTGCTGAGGTTGTATGGTGCTGAGTTCATGGCCCTGCATGCATAAATGATGATCACATTTGGAACAACAGTTCTTCTAACATTTCATGGAACTTGTAAACATGACAACCGAAATGTGAATAGCTGCTAGCCTTCTTATTTTCATAGTATAATAATTACAAGCTCGTCTTCAAACAGCAGATCCTCTATGATATATATACTTAATAATGGTGAACAATTTGTGACTTTTTGAGTTCTTGTGGATTTCTATTTCAAGAAAAAATATTTGAGTAGTTTGTTCTGGCGTCAAAACTTTGTCCAAAACGACCAAAAAAAAAAAAAAAAAAATCATCGGCTTACCTTTCTTTGCGCTTCTCCAGAAAGCGAGCCAAGGATGCTTTACGAGCCTGGGGAACGGCTGCATGAAAGAATTGAATGTTATGTTTTAGAAGGTCATATTGCTAATGGTCATATACATAAACAGATAGATGACGTAATACTAAAAGTTGGAGATGAACAAACTAATCTTTATGCAGAAATGTAGTTCCATTTTTTATTTAAGAGTAAGAGATACTGCAGATAACTATAAAAATAAATAAAAAGAACAGTAAAAAAGTAGTACACAACATACACTATAAAAGACCCAAGTATAACGGACACAGACATGGACATGGACATGATATGACACGGATATATCAAGAAGCCGATTCCTAGAAAAGTTGAGCAGAGACTGTGTGGAAATGCCGAAATGGCAATATATAAATATAAACTTTTAGTTATAGATATCTATTAAGTAAGACAATTTAAGAACTTTGATTTAGAAAAGTTGAGCAGAGACTGTGTGGAAATGCCGAAATGGCAATATATAAATATAAACTTTTAGTTATAGATATCTATTAAGTAAGACAATTTAAGAACTTTGATTTATTTTAAATTTCTATACTAAGAGTTACATAATTTAAAACATGAAACTATTCAAATATCATAAAGATTGCTAAAAATCTTTCCTACTTTGTCGTTACAATAATATTGTTTTTCCTATATGATACAATGCCATACTTGACTTGTGATGACCATGTAAATAATGTCAATTTTTGTTGAAGAAAAAGGTCAGGGCACTTTGAGGTGCATTGATACCATTTCCAAGACTGGACTTGTGTTGGGATGTGTCTGGAGTGTATTTGCGAAGCGACCAAAATTATTACAATTTATTTTCAAATTATGGACATGTAAATGAAGTGTCAAACACGCATCTAGGAGCAGAGGCAAAGATGAATTGAAAGATGATAAATTATTCCACAACATTCTTTTTTGATAAGTAAATTTTCCACAACATTGCAATTCAGAAAGAGTTTACACATACAGTAGATATTCCTACAGTAGCAGAAGCAATAAAGGCAATCGAAAGTAGAAAGCTGCAAGCAATAAGGTTTGAATTGAAAAAATGGTTTTAAGAACCTTAAATCCAGATAGCCATTATAAAATAAAATCACTAAATTGATTTCTTTAAATTCATGAAAGACCTGAATATCATCTGGGAGTTGCTTATAAGCACAGATTAACAAGAATCATAACAAATAGAAAGCACTATCATCAGCGTGTGATACCTGATGGCATCATGGTAGTTGCAGAAACGGGTCCTAGCGAAGTGACTATTTTCGGAGGATCCACTTTGCTCACTGGCGTGGTTAAAACCCCTGTAGTCTTAACTGCCATAGATTCATCATTGTTAGTAGATCCACTACCGGACTGACCAATAGGATGTGAAGTAACAGACATAGGGCTTGAGAAACCGGAGTAAGGTGGTGTATTTATCGGGTTCACACAAGCATCGTCCCCTGCTGCCAATTTTGGAGTAGGAGTATGAACTTGAGTTCTTGGTTGCATCATGTTAGAAGCAGTGGAGGATCCATTACCAGCCAAGAACATTATAGCCTGAGCCTATATAAGATGGCCCAGGCAGAATAGAAGAATAAGTAAAAAAACAGAAAAAAGAAAGAAAAGAACTTCTTAGTTCATCTTTTTGCAAGAAAAGTGTTATCAACACGAGTTGATGTATGTGAGAGAGAGAGAGAGAGAGAACCTTCTCAGGGGAGATATCATCATAGACATTCACTGCACCAGCATAAAAGATGGTTAATTGAGCACCCCCAGAGGCCTTGGAATTGAACCTGTAAAAAAGTGCATCACTCCAATTAATGTTCTGTTATTACTTACGCACACGCACACACGCATTTATATATTCATTTTCTTCTGTGCTTACAACAATTCTGATTCTACATTTGTACATATTTATGCAACAGAATATGGAATAAAGCATAATTTATGCATTACCTTGGTTCATTGATCCCCGCAACAGAACCAAGAGAAGGAAGAGCTGAATGTGGAGCTGTAACAGGAATCCCTCCAAATAAATGTTGCTTTGTGGTAGCACCCAAAAAGTTCTGACCAGAACCAGTAAAATGAGTCTTAAAGAAAGGGTGGTTCATGGAAACTGAAATTGTTTGGCCAGAGACTGGAAGCTCTTTAACATCATGAGATAGATGCAATGAATGCGCATTCTGTTGCGCGGGATAAGATGTCATTGAAAAATGAGTGCCACCTTGCTTATCTTGATTGCAGTTTTTCTATATAGTAAGAATCATTTTGATATAAATATCAGTTGATTCGAATAGATATCTGACTTTTTCTGATTAAATCATATAATAAAAAAAGATTGTTTGGACACGGACAGAGAATCTAACAGCCCAATTAGATTATTGACATTTAAAACAAATGGATTCTTTAAATGGAGCCATTGCATCACAAAGACTGATGATAATTTAAAAGATCTCATTTTCTAGGAACTAGGAGTTGTTCACATTAGGATATTCATGATTCTAGCTATGCAGAAAGATGTGGGAGAGAGGAGGGTTGTACTGAAAGAGAAAAAGTGGAAGTCCTGCACGAGCAGCTCAGCTAGTAAGTCCTTTGGGGTTACTCCCCTGTGTAGCTAGTTTTACTCTCACTGAAGGTGAGACCTGGACTAAAATGATGCATGTGGTTTGCTGCCTGTTGTGTGCATCCGGATTTTGCAAACCATCCGAGAGTCCAAAGTGCCTAGCTGGTGGGTTAATTCTTCGTTAGCCAAAAAAAAAAGGGAACTGGAAGAACGTCGGGTAAGTGGTTGATGATGTTAAAATTTTCAATTATTGGAATTGCTACCTAATCTTGTTATCAGTGTACTAATGATTGAAATGCGTAAAATAAATTGGTTCGTCCCAAAAGTAGAAGTATAGCTTGCCTTTTACAGGAGTATAAGTAATAAAAATTTCCTAATAATTCTACTCATGCAGCAAAATTCTTCTAAACACCATATAAAACAGAACAAAGTCATTCACAATTTTATGTGGACCAAATTCGAATAATCTGATTTCCCTAACACCACCACAAAAAACAAACACATTTATTGAAAATATGGATAGAACCAAACCTGTAACTCGCCGGATGGGCGTTTGTGCGCGGCGTCAAATGCGTCTGCAGTTGATATTGTCATTAATCCAGAAGAAGCAATGTGATTAGACAAGATCTTTGCAGTCTTGTCTTCTTGAGCAGTCTTAAAGAACATAAAATGAGGAAGGGCAGAGGCCTTGTTTGACAAGGGCCATGGGACCCCTGAACCTTCAGAAAATGCAAGAGTCTCAAAACACAAAGAATAATGCCCAATTAATACAACACGTGGCTTTAAATGGATAGAAATCATCTATGAAAAAATGTAAAAGGAACACATCTACCATAATACTCAAATTAATCACCAATTGGCATAAAGAGACTTCAAAATTAGAACTTCATTTTTGTTTTTGTTTAAGAAAGAAAGGAAAAAGAAAAAAATTACAAGTCTCAGACAAATATAACTAGTGAATAATTTTGGTAGACTTTCATTTATAAGAGAGAAGAGTTACTATTATCTGCTTTCTTGCACACAAACATGCACAAATTATGACCAAACGACAATGAATTCAAATTATCACCTGAGCCCAAATGGAAAGCGTAACACTTCGCGCCATATTTTACAAATTTCAACACACATGCCCAAAAACTATGGAAAAGAAAAACTATCACAAATACATATTACCACTTACCCAATTGAGAGTCTTCATACTTTCCATTGCAAACCATGCATTATCCATTATATGATGATCCATCTATATTATGAATAATTTTTTCCAACAAAATTTGTTTGAAAAAGAATATTCATACCGAGATCGGAATACAACTTTGTCTCAATGCGATAATTTTTCCAAGAAAATTTGTATGAAAAAGAATATTTCTTAAAGAGATCCGAATATAACTTTTTCTTATAAAATTTCGTCTGAAAAAGGGTATTCAATTCACCAAAATACTTCAATATAACAACTAATTTTTACATCAATATTCTAGAGAAATACTTCACAATTAGAAAGATCATGTAATTATAAGTGCATTAAAAATCCATTTATTTGTTCACAACCAATTATAGTACCAAAACAAGCTATGCTGGCAGCAATAGTCCTAACAAACTTAAAACAGCACATGCATTCAAGAAAATACATTCTATCTCATGATAGAAAATCATCAACAAAAACTAAAAGATAAAAAAAAAAAAGTTGATATAGTAAGCCCACAATAACTCACTGTAAGGTCATGAAAGAGAATTATAACCGAATTTCAGAATAAATATTACATCAACACAGACTTACAAGTCATAGATGTAAAAATCAATGTAATTTACATAGAATACTATATAATATATATGATATATATATATATGTGTGTGTGTGTGAGAGAGATAAATTACCTGAGTCTATGCATCCTTCAACAACCTCTTCCTTCACCGTAATTACAGATTCTTTTGAGCTCAAACCCAAGAAATCCCTCTCCATTTTCAGAGTTCAGTCAGATATAAAAAGCATACAAGTTTGAGAAAAACCCAACTTAAATTTCGAGTCAAAACCCTCAAATTTTTGCGGATCAAACAGAGATGAAAGCTCTCAGCTCCCAAAGCAACAAACCCTAAAACCAAATTCGCTACAAAAACACTGCAATCATGGTTGAAGCTAGAGAGAGAAAGTAGTGAGAGAAAGAGAAGCACTTATCCTCCAAATGCTTTCATACGCAGCGAAAAGGAAAGAGGGGTTTGTTTTACTTTTCGTGTGTTGAATGGTCTTTCCTGTATTAGATCGGGACCGTTGGTTTATTGTTAAATATTATAAATCTGGAGGTACATCGGTGACCGATAGAACAGGTCGTTAACCGGCTATACCGGTTGTGTAGCACGTGCGCTAGTAGTACGAATCACGCATTACCAAAATCACACCCACCTGCTGGCGGTACCACAAATGTGTACTAATCGCCTGAAAATTCGACACGTGGATACCTTTACTTGAGCACGTGCCTATAATTCTGAGTCATTATAGGTAAATTGCACTGAACCTGACATACTATCAATAAATTATAAAATACCCCTCTACTATATTATTTCGTAACATGCCCTCTCAATTTATCAAATATTGCAAATTATTGTGTAGAGCAGCCGAATTCGACAAAAATACCGAACAAAATTTTATTTTATTAATTAGTATAAATTATATTTTTATTTTGAAATAATTACATTGACATCCCTCGATAAAAAATCTTAATTATAAGAACCTCTCTTATGTTTTTAAAAATAACATTAATTTTCCCTATTAGTAACGTGAATAAACTTCCGTTAACAAATTGAGCAAATTTACATCAATATCGTATGTATCATTAATGAAGAAGGCTTGTTTCCTAAGAAAAAACAAGAGCAGCACTTTTTAATTTAAGATTGTATCTTGAATTTCACATGACAATAACTAATAAGACATTAATATATTCTATTTTAATACATATTATACTTTTTTTCTTTTATATATTTGTATTTCCTATTTTAACAAACTGAAGAAAAAAAATAATAATAACAAATAGTTACATAGGTTTCTTTCTCTACCTATAATTTACATTTTTCTACTAATGTTTTATATATATATATATATATATATATATATATATCTTTTGGGTATCTCTTTAAAATTTCACCGTAATTAGAAAATACCAAATTAAAATATAATTATAAAAATTAGGGTTCTTATTTACCAGAAAGAGATCACTCATTCATATAAAAAAAATTATAACTTCTTATTTTAATTATTTGAAGAGAAATGGTCTCCTAAATCAAAATACTTAAGTCCTCACCAGTGAGAATTTACAACATACTTACTATTGATTTGGATCAATAATAAATAGACATGTCATCTTTAATTACCAAATCAAAGATGTTTGGTAGATACTCACTTACCAAATGAGAGATAATCTATGATTTAATAATTAAAATAAGATTTGTTCATTTATTATTATTCCACGTCATTAGTCAGTATGTTATAGATATCATTTATTATTATTCCACATCATTAGTCGGTATGTTATACATATTACTAGTGAGGACTAAGTATTGTCTAAATCGGTGCAAATGTTACTGGTGAGGACTGAGTATTGTCTAAATCGGTGCAAATATCTAGTGAAAACTAAGTATTGTCTAAATCGGTGCAAATATCAATATATATATACACACACACACATTTACAAACATTTATTCTGAAACTATTATTACATCATTGGATCAAATGTTCTGTTTTCTGCTTGGATCAAAATATTAAGAGAGTGAGAACCTAGCCGCTTTCTCTCTTTAAAAGTCCATCTTCTCCTACTAGATATGTCTACAATTGCATATTTATATATGCATTGTATGTATATATGATGTTGCTAAAATTCTCTATTCTCTCGCCTTTCTACTGCCCTGTTCTCTCTCCATTCTCCATCTACTGCTTGAATTTCTCTCCCTCCCACACCTCCACCTCTGTTGGCGTCCTTCTAGGAATAGTAGTTAAACGCCACATTCATACTACCTGAAAAACTGCCAGCCCAATTTTTTTCTGCAAAAAAATTTCAGATTTTGAAAAGAATTATAAGAAATATAGAAATAAAATATGAACGGAGAAAAAGTATTCATGTCTGCTAACCCCTGAAGTGACAAGAAAGAAAAATATATGAGGGTTTTGTATCAAATTTCGAAGAATTGAATAATACATTTCATATATATGTTTGTATTTGTATTTTTTTGTTTTTTTTTTGTTCTACTAAGTTGAGAAAGGTGTTTTTTTTTTTTTCATTATAAATTCTTCTTGTTGACATGAGTTCTATCATCTAAGTCGTGTGGTATTTCCGGATTGGTTAATTTCGTATTGTCTAATATGAGTTCATGCATCCCAGCTCAAACTAAGCACAATCTTAAATTGAACTCATTTCATTACTCAAACCATGACAGGTTGATTTTTTTTTTTTTTTTTCAATGTTGCATGAACGTCTGTAAACGGATCCAATTCGGATTGGATTGATCAAATTAATATTCAATTTGTTAAGTTAACGGATTATCGGATTCTAATTCGAATTTTTTTAAAATCTTATTTTTAAAAAGATTAAAATGACATATATATATATATCTAACATTGTTAGCAAGGGCGGGATCCAGCATTTCTGAATGGGGTGCGCTAACTTTGAATTGGGCTACCATTAGTAATTTTTTTTTTTTTTTTTTTTTTTTTTTTTTTTTTTAATGGGTGGTATGGTAAATTTTATTTTATTTATTATTATTTTTTTGAGTGGGCTGAAGCCCACCTTTGCCGACCCCTGGATCCGCCTTTGGTGTTAGATAGAGTGGACCTTTGTTTATATATAGGATGGTTGATAATATAAATAAGCAAACAAATGGATACATTGATAAATAATTAGGAAAATAATATTTAGACGACGAATTTGGTCGATTACTTAGATAGAATCCCATGTGACAGTACAGCTGGCAAAAAGAATTGGCATGCGATCCATTATCTTCTTGTCTCTCCACTCTCTCTAACCTCTCAGTTAAGGGTAGCAATTCATGTTCGTGGGTAGTATTCGTGTCGTGTCGATATAAGGATATTATACTAAATAGGTAAACTCAAACCCAACCCATTTAATAATCATGTCAAGAATTCTCAACACTAATCCAACCTGTTTATTAAACATGTAAACTTATTAACCATTTAATGACATGTTTATCAAAATGAGACATTTAATATTTAATCAAATACTAAATAATAGAAACAAATTGTTATAATTAACCCAAATATTCAAAATAAAAAGAAAAATCAGAAGGCATAGACAAGATTTATGTTGAAATGATTTAATTATCCATAATAATTGGTTTTAAACAGGTAACATATTACATAGGCTATATTCACAATTATAGCATGTTGAGTTAAATAAGTCATAAACGGGTTATACGGGTTGAACCCCCAACCCTAATCCGACACGGTTAAGTAAACGGATTAATCATGTCGACCCTTTTATGACTCAAGTCCATTTATATCAAACCCAAACCCTTTTAACTCGTGTCGTGTTCGTGTTGTGTCATAATTTGCCACCCCTACTCTCAGTCCAGACAACAACGTACAGTATAATCCAAGTGCTTCTTTTGGGTCTTATTTTCACCCTCTCTCTCCTTTTTTTTTTCTCTCTCTAGCTTCATCGACGTAGATGCAGGTGCAAGCAACGGTGGCCATCTTTGGCCAAAATGCCAGATTTGAGCTTAGGGGTGTCAAATATCAATCGATGGTGGTGTCCGCCACAGAACTCCAATCAACTGATGGTGGTGTCGACGCCAAAGGCTTGTTCGGTGGCGGAATCCTATCCTTTTAGTGAAAATTAGATCCCTTTATCCCTTCCCATTTTCACCCAACATATCTCTCTTTCAAAGTATAAGTATTAATTCCGCAGTGGTTGGAGCATGCGAGGTCGACGCCAATGAGAAGCAAGTGCTGATCGGCGATAATCAGCGAAACGGTCAGGTGTTGTTGCCGGTGTGTTGGCTTCTTCATCATCTAGTTATTTATTTATTTATTTTTATTTTTATTATCATGAAATTTTAGATTGTCATTGTTGTTCGTTGTTGGGTCGCCGGTGGCTGTCGAGAGTTGTGTCATCACTGTAAGAAACTAATTTTGCCATCATTGTTTGCATATGTGAGGCTTCATCGGTCCCTCTTGCTTTTGGTCGGAAGTTGTAGAGGGTTGTTGTGATTGTTAACCGTTGTTGTTTGTTCTTTTGGCCGGAAGTTGTAGAGGCGCTTTGTTGTCACTATTTGAACCCCAACAGTTGTCAAAATCAAGTTGCTCCTCGCCATCATTCTCGACTGTCATCTTCTTCATCGAAAACTTGTTAAAGTCTAGGCCTCCTTTAGAAATTTTTCCTACGAATAAGAGAACCACAAAATCAAATACGACTATTGAATGGCGGAGAAACACTGAATTCACTTTCACCTTTTCATTGAAAACTATCCATGGATATGGAATTTTAAGTTCTTGTGCATTTACAAAATTAAGAAAAGAAAATTGCAATCCATAAATAAAATAGAACTCTAATACCTCAATTTCGTGCGTGTGTCAAAAAGAAAGAAATTTATACAAAAATTATCAATGGAAAACTGCATCAATAAATTTCTTGCCAAAGTCACGTATACTTTTTTTTAAGTCCAATGCATCGATCAATTTACAATAATTTTATTTGCAACTGGATCGATAATATGTATAACATTCTTATATAGTATACAGTAATGTAATAATATATCATCAAGGGTATGAGAGTTACAGTTTTTAAAATAGGCATCATTTTGGAGATATAGAGGGTATATATCAATTTTAATTGGGTCAAAAATTCGATTCATTCGTTGACCGGTCTAGTTGTACGTGGCGAGAACTTGTCAGTGGATAAGAATCGGCGAAAGCAAAAGCCAAAGAAATCGCTCCTGAGTGTCATTCATATTCGCACGTGGTATTTAAAAAAAAGATGTATTTTCTCTCTCTACATCTACACACACTGACACACATATATATACATATATAAGCACCACTTGCTTCCTATCATTGCAATTTGTCTATGCTTTTCTTTAACCTAGCTTTCTAATTGGCTTTATTTCCAAATCTGTCTCATTCTCAAATTTATGATCTTTTTCTATCCATATATACAACCAAAAATTGCCCTTTTTGTTTGCCTTATTTCATTTATATCCCACTTGTCTGCTTCCCATATTTTTATGTTATAGAAATAAAATGCA